TTTTTTCATCTTTATTATTAATATTATCATTTATTGATGATATATCATGCCATGTTACTGACCAATCAGTACCACATTGAGCACATATATATGGTAATGATATTGAAAATTCTGATGAAAAACGACGATTACCAATATCTGTATATGTATTATATGCTTGTTCAAGACCAATTAATGTTAAAAATTCTGCCCAACCATTTATACCAGGAATATAAGTTAAATCACATATAGATGGTTTAGGTGTTGGAATTTGTAAAAGTGTTTGTTCAAGTTGTTTACGTAAAGCTAATTTAGCATTTAATAAATGTTGATCTGTTGTTATTCCATTACCTATGAAAGATAATAGAGAAGATTATGTAAGAATATTAATGAATAGATATTTCTTTTGTTTTTTTAGTATTATTTTAACTTCTATTTTATTCGATAATATATATATATATATCCGAAGTTAGTTGAATGACATTAGTGAATTATCTTATGAAGATGAGCTTTTAATTGAATTTTTCTTTATTACAAATCGAACAAATAAAAAATGAACTTTACTTATTATATTAAAAAAAGAAAACGGAAGTATACAAAATGATTTGTTGACTCATCAAAACATTAAATTTTTCTTTTCTTTTTTTTTACATTGAGTGAAAGATCATATCACGTTGAGTAATCAAGTAATAAAACTTGTTATTTTACATACGATCGAATTTACAAGAAGATTTATATAGTATAATTCTTTCGTTTTCTTCTTTATGAAACATTATCTCATAGTTAAAAATTCAACATATCAAATCTATTATATTGATATTTTAAATAATATCTTTCAAAAATTTGATTTATCTATCATTTTAAAAATGAAAAATAGCTTTTTTTTCTAATATATTAATTTTCTATGATAAAATATTGATGTCATTATGTAATCGAAATTGATATATAGATTTCGAATATGTAACTGAAATAGAACACTTGATAATGATCAAATTTCTTTATATCAACAATATTTAACTCAACTGATTATAAAATATTGATTTTTTTTTTGAAATCAATTTATTCTCGATATATTTTTCAATAGAAAAAAATTATTCATTTAAAACTATACTTTTTGAAGAATTATTTGTTATTGATGATGATAAAGAAGAATTTTTTGTAGTTGAAGTTGATGATAGACGAGTAGCTGTTATTGGTAATGTACTATTAGTTGATTGACGAGTAGCTTGAGGTAATAATTGAGAAGATTTTGAAGTTTGTTGTTGTAAATTATTATTTGATCGATTAACTGTATATTGATTTGGATGTGGTGGTTTAGTTGGTATTGATCGATTTGTTAAATTCTATAAAGAAAAAGTTTTTTTGTTTTTGAATTCAATAGAATAATTATTAATATATTTTTTTTGTATACCAATGATTGTTTTGTTGGTGTAGTTGAATTTAATTTTGTTGTATGAACAGGCGTAGTTGTTGTTGTTGTTGTGGTGGTGGTTCGTTGATTAGTATTATTTGTTTGTGATATAATTCGTTGATTTGTTTTAAGTTTTTGCATAAGAACAAGTAAAGCTTCTTGACATTGTAATTCATATTGAAGTTGACGATATTCTGATGTCATTTCTTGTTTACTACTATTATGAATTGTCATCTTTGACGATTGTTGAGTTTTATTTGGTGTTGATAATAATAATAATGATTTTTGATGTTCATTATGATGAATTTTTCTACAAAATTTTTTACAAAAAAAAAAAAAACAAAATAAATATTCTTATATTTATTATTATTGTTTATTTATTTTTCAATATAGAATAAGAAGAACGAAACTAAATTTTGTATGTTAAGATGTATATATATATAAATATACATGACGAGTAAAAGCAGCGAGGTTCGATTTAATGTTCGGAAGCAATGAATGGCGGAAGGTAGGATGCAAGAAGAAAAAGAGAGAAAAAAAAAAAAACAAGGATGGATGAAAATATCTATCTGTTGGAACGCGATTACTAATGTCGACGATGAGGACGACCAATTGAACGTTACCACGACAATGATTATATTTATATAGAAAAAACAAAAAAAAAAAGGAGAAGAAAAAAAAATGGATGAATGAATGAACGAAAGAAACAAGACAGCGGGCAAGCGGGCGCAACGTCTTTCTCGCATTGACTTACCCATCATAAGAAGTACCACGGAATCGTTTTGTTGTTGTACTTGTTATTATATTATGATTATCTGCTACTACGGATGTTGATGATTTACGTTTGAGACCATTGCTTGATATCATTATGTTTGTTTTTTCAATCTGAAACTTTGAAGTGAAAGAAAAAAAAATAAAAACTTATAGATATTGATTATGATATATGAATATTTAATTTCTGGAATAACTAAAGAACAAAAACAAAGAACATATGATGAATAATAAAAAGACACAGGTGAGAAACAGAAACTTCTCGTCTAATACGATTCCATTCTATGCATGTTACAGTGTTTTGTTTACCGGCAATGTTGGACGTGGCAGAAAGGGTTATTCATCGCTATCATGTGTCTATTCGCTCTTTTTTTTTGCTCGACGAACATAACTTACCCTTGTATTCTAGTTTTTTTTCCATTCTCTTATATATATATATTTTTTTTTTTTGTTGGTAAGAAGGGTTGATGTTTTATCGTCATAATTGTTATTCAGCGTATTATAAAATCTGATTTTAACAAAATGCTTGTGCAATAACACATATCTTTCAGTCATTTAACTTACATTTATGATAAAAAAAGAAAGAAAACGATGAATGTAAACTTGCATTTCAAACAAATGAATTTCTTTATTGTAACAATGAACAATGACAAATAAAGTTCAATGTTCGAATTGCTTCTAACTCAATTGAAGATATATACATATATATATATATAATGAATATAACCATCATTCATCGAACTAGTGAATATAGAAATGGACGTTTGCAATATAAAGAAAAAAAAAAGAAGGAAAAAAAGAGATGTCTACACACACATTATGATAGAGAAAGAACTATACATGCTTTAACTAACCTTCCCCAAACAACACATATACTATGGCGACGAGTCAAGCGTATTCTATTTTTTTCATCTCTCCTTATTCTCCTTTGCTTTTTTTTTTTTTGCAGAAAATGTCATTAAGAAAAGACAGCCATAGCGTTCTAGTCGTAAACAAATAAATAAGTCATCGTTATTCTCTTTACATATTATTCTACTCTCTTTTATCCACAACAATAGTGATGGTTTTTATATCGATATCACATACTTGCTAGATTTCTAGTTTGTTTCTGAATAGAAAAAAAACTATATATATATATATATATAACGCGAACATATAAGCGTATTAAAAAGAAAAAAAAAGAAAAAAAAAATCAACAACTATACTCTATGTCGTTTTGCATCTTTATTTTTTTTTTCTCTTTTTTCTCTTTTTTTTTCTCATTTTTCAATGACAAAACGAATATGAACACATTGCCCATAAGAACGAGCAATGGCAATTGTGCAAATAGACGACTGCAGACACTCGCGCAAGCACTCTCTCTCTCTCTCCCTGTTGCACGCATATAACACATGAAAATCATGCAAAGAGATGAGGACGGGACGAGGAGAAAAATGTGAAAATCGCAAGTCGACTCGAAGGACAGGACACGTTAGTTAAGAAGGAGAAGAGAGAAAGACAATGCAACCACAAATACACTAAATATGGAGCATAGTGAGACAGGATGGTTGAATATCTTTTGATCTATTCGATAAACACAAACATTTTTGTACAGGAGTATTCTCTAAAATAATAAGAATATCATCTGATTGATACATGGAAAAATCTATATATATATATATATGGTATTAATTTGATCAATAACAAAAAATTTATATGAAAACGTGACAAAAAGAATTAATCTTATTTCCTTATATATATCGAAAAAAAAAAACTATATATATATAGAAAATTGTGTTTTCAGATAAGCATAGATTTCTAAAATAGAAAAAAATTCGGATTTCATAAAATTGCTAAACATACTTCTTTGATCCTTTTATACAGAAAATAAATTCAAAAACTGTAATGATTAAATATCTTGCCTAACTTATTAATTATATTTAAATCTATTCAAATATAGGATTATTTATTAAAGATAATTATGACAAGTACATTATTTCTAGGATATGACATATTACTCATAAAAATAAACGAAAGAAACATCTGTAGTTAACAATAAATATAAACTTTATTTATAAATTCTACCTTAAATTTCCTTCTCTTTTTTTAATTTAATTTTCTTTTACTTTTTTTTTGTCCCAAGCGTAATCGAGATTAATAAAAAGAATCTTTCCGGATGTTGACTTGACTAACGCTATGAAATATTTTAAATCATATGAATTAAAGATACTCTATATACAAAGGTTATCATGATCAGAGAAAAATGCCGAGGTCATATATATATATATGGAAATGTATTTTGTACACACACACACAATTGTTCATTATAGATCTACTATATATCAACTAATGTTTTATATAATCCATATCTAATATAAGATAGTTTTGCGCATTTGTAATCAGAATAAAAACAACAATAAGAAGAGCAATAACGACGGTGCTTCTGTTGTTGACGACGAATGCCAAACAAGAAAGACACCAAAAAAAAAAAACCGAGAAGGAAAAAAAAAAAAGAAAAGCTCACATATTCCTGTAAAATGTTCTGTGTGCTAACCCTTCTTTTACCAAACATCGTTCTCGCATATTCACGGATATTTTTTCTATACTTACTAGTAGAATCAATTCACATGAGAAAGAAACAACAAGAAAAAATAGCAAGAGAACAACGTTAATATACTTTTCTTAAAGAAATATTGTATATCAATCAAATAAATAATCATAATTATTATCTTATTTATTTAAGGAAAACAAAAAAAAGAAATGTATTTTTTAAAATAAAATATCGATTTATTTTTATGTGTGTGTATATATTCAGATGTTTATTTATTATCAATATAAAAACAATCAAAATAGAAATTTTTTATTTTTTAAATGATAATTTTTCAAGAAATTTTTGTTTTCGTTCATTTATTTCAACAATAGAATCATTTGTTTGTTGCATTTTTTTAATAATTTTCATACGTTTATTATAAAGTTCTGAATTTTGATCATATGAATACGTGTCATTAGTTGAATTTGTATTAAGACGAAGTTTAGTAATACGATCAAGTAAAGTTGATGAAGAAGTTAAAAATTTTTTTTTCTTTATTGATTCATCACGTTCATTTTGTTGATTATCATCATCGGATGATGATGAAATGATATTTGAGAAGAAACCATCGTTCTAAAAAAACAAACACGAGAGACAAAAAGATTAAACATGATAATTATTAACGTTTTTTTTCTTTTATAGATTTAAGTTCTATTATTAAATATATAAATCTCAACAAGATTATTTATAATTGGATTTTTATTACGAAAAATCTATTAGTAATAATGTGCTATGTTTAGAAATTTATCATTCAAGAATACATCAAAGTATTTATGATATTATTAAATTCAAGAGACACTTCACAATCTATAGTCTATAGTTGTTTACTTAAAGCTTTATTCTATGTAAAAGTTGAGCAAATATGTATAGAGAACAAAAAAGACTTCGAATTTTCATTTACGAGAAGGATATACTTTTTAGTTAATTGATGAATATCAATGATTTGTTTAGAGATAGTATATAATGTTCTTAAAAAATTCTAAGAGAATTTAGGTTATTATGATCAAGCTATTGAATTTCTTTTTTCTAAAGGTTCGAGACTTTCACAAAACTTGTTTTTTTTTTTTATAATTTTGCTCTAAAATTTTATACATATAGAGAAATCAACTAGATTAATTTCCATGAAAAAATTTAAGAGTTTTGAACAAAATTTTTCGCAGATATTAAGCGGAAAAAATAGGATCGGTTTCAATAAAAACATGAATCGATTCGATCTCTCATATGAAACATTCAAAAAATCATGATCGTAAAAGTCAAACGTTTTAAATCAAGCGACAATTCATTTCATCTCTAACAGAAGATTAATTCTTAATTTCCTTTTCATCAACCTTAATAACCAGGCATATAATTCAATAAGACATAGTACCACGCGAGGATAAGATCAGCAAGTGAAAAATAAAGATTTACTCTATGAAATGAATTTTGAAAATAATCTCACTGATAAACAGTAATTGAATATCGAAAATCACAACAGACAGAAGCTCGATAAAAAAAAACTATATGAATTATGTGAGATTTTTAAAGCCCAACGTTAAGAAATTTTATTTTTCAATATTTCATAATCATACTCTCGAACAATTTTTCTTACATATCTTTCCATATAAACATCAGTTGGACGTTGTCGTGGTACAAGATTACTTTCTTCAGCTAATACTTGATAATCAACTGGATCATCATCATTTTCGAATTCAGAATTTTTACTAATATTTAAATCTCTTTTAATAATATGTTCACGTATAATTTTTTCACGTTCTTCTTCATCTTTAATATTAAATAATGATGATGGTGAACGTGATCGAACTTGCATACGACGTTTTGTACGTTGTCGTAAAATTAATCGAACATTTTCAATAGAATAATTAAAACTTTCTGCTAACATATCTATTGTCCAACGTTCTAAAACAAAAAAACAACAAGCAAAATTTTTTTTATATATATTGAATAGAAATCATTCAATAATATACTTGGATAATTTTTATGTAAAAATTGCATATGATTTTTAATATATGGATCTATTTTAATATCATTTGGATTTGCTATATATTTACGTCGTAGAATATGATATCGAATAGTACGTTTTCGTTTACGTTGTTGTCTATAAATAAGAAAAACAAAAAAAAAAAATTTTGAATTTATAGATTTTTTTTTTTTAATCTTTTAAGTAATTGGTTTGAATATAGAACAAAACTTTTAAAATATAATTGAATAATTGCATGTAAAAAAAAAAAGAAGAATTTTTTCCCGTTCTTATAAACTATCAAGGAAATTATTTTTGTTAGAAAAATGAAAAGAATAAGTATAATAGAACTAAAATTTGTTTGAAGTTAGTTTTCTCTTAGGAATTCATTATGTTTATACAAAACGATGTTTTTTTTTTGGTATTTTTGACTTCAAAAAAAGAATGATCCAGTACATCAGATAAAATTAATTTTTCTCTATTCATAGATGGTGTTTTTTTTTGTTATAGAACTATATTTTTATTATTAGAATGAACTTTTATAAGAATGAGAAAAATTTTTTGTACTGAATTCATGAATTACATATTGATTATGTGATACTATTAAAAGAAAATTTATTGACTTAAACGTTAAAACCAGAATAATTTTAATTAATCTTATATTCATAGCATTGACCTGAATAACCTTTATCAATATTTAGTATTGTAATGCTAATAAATATGTCATTATAAACTTTGTGAGATAAAAAAAGAAAAAGAAATCTTCATTAGTATTCTAAGATTGATGTTGATGAGAAAGTTTTTCGACAAGATATTTATTCAGATTTGATATATTTGTAGAAAAAGAAGTTTTTTGAAATTTCTATAAAATGTTTTTTTTAATAGTGATTTGACTGATAGTTGTTTTTATCCCCGAAGTTCTTTTTCAAACATGCAAAAATTTATTGAAGTCGATCATTTTGAAAAGTAGACATGTTTCCCTACAAAATTCATACGTTGAAACTAATTTTTTGGATTTTTCAAAGATTATTCTGCTACTATCGAATACAAGTTCCTAAGTCCATATTCGTAATTCATAGATTTTAATTTCGTTGAAAATACGTCAAAAGTGAACAAACATTTTATCTAAAAACTTTCCGATCATCCTCATCATGAAGTTAATTAAAGGCATTTTTTGTCAAAATATTATTCTTACGAAATTCGCTTGTCTTTCAAAGAAATGAAGTATAGAATTTTGTGCGAGAACTTCTGACCTTGATGTCTTTCTAAAGGAAATATCGAAGAATTTTAAGTCTATGATAATTTTTGTTCTATTCATTGAGATCTATTTATCTTGAAAGTTTTATATTTGTTCATAGAGACTTTGTCGACAAACTTCGGAAATGAAATCTTTTTCTTTTCATCTCTCTAGGAAAATAATATATACATGTAAAATGTTCCCAAGAAAATAACGTTTTTCATAAAATGTCTATCTATATACATTGAGAAAGATTTTTTTTTGTTTTTAATTAAAAAAGAAAATAATTAGCAAATCATTTTGTTTACTCTATTTCATAATCAATTTGTAATGATTTATTTCTACTTGTTTGTACAGCCAAATATTCAAGTTCACTTTCAATTTCAGGTCGATATATATTTGCATAATTATTAAGAATATTTGATTGATGTTGACCATTTCTTAAAAATTGTTTATTTAAAACAATAGAATTCCATAATGTTTTTAATAACTTTTGATTCAAATTTGAAGATAGCATTCTTTTTAGTTTTTATTTTTTTGTTTCTGAAAATAAAATTAGATTTTATTTTCAAAAATAAATACATATTCATGACTGTTATTATTGGTTTTTTTTTTTATTTAATAAACAACACTGACAACAATCAGATTATAGTGACGAAAAATAAAATATATGAGTATGTGATATACATAAACAAAATATGTCAATGAATTGATTCATTGTATGATTTCAATTGATACCAATGAGCTATTTGTTTAGTTATTTGTCGATGACAAACATCATTCCAATGTTGATTCATTTCTTTTCCAATAGAACATGTACCAATAGCTTCATGTTTCATATGATTATCATAATCAAAAAGTATTATATCAAAATAAATATTTTCTATATCATTATTTGGTATATGAAATGTAAAACATTCATTATAAACAGGAGTTTGTGTTGTTCGTTTAATAGTACTTCGTTTTTTAAAAATTCGTTGATTTTTATAAAACATATAAATTTTAAAATAAGGATCTTAATAAATACACAAAACAAAAAAAATAAAATAAAATCAATAAGAATAATGAGATAAAAACAAAATAAAAAAATATCCTATTTCTACATACTAATTAATCTTGTTGTTCCTATTCGAGGTAAATTTGCTGCTTTTAATACAATTATTGTTACACTACTATCAGTTGGTTGATAGCATAATGAAATAAGCATTTGACCAAGTTCTTGATTACTTAACTGAAATAGGCAAAAAAAAGAAATTGAATCTTGTCTTGTAAAGAATATTTATTTCTTCTAGAGAGATTATATGTTGTTTTAGAAGAAACAATAAATAATATTCTATATCTATTTCTTTTTTTTGTATATCATTTGACAATAATAAAAATAAATATTATTTTCATACTTGTTTATGAAGTGTTGTTAGATTTTGTGTAAATGTCATTTCAGTTGAATCTAATATATTAAATTTTATTGGAAAAATAACTTCACCAACAATTTCATCTCTTGTAAATGTATCATATGTTGATATTGTAAAAACAATTGAATAATTATCATCATTTATTTGTTCAAGATTTGTAAATTCAAATAATTCATCATAAATAGGATATGCATTTTTTTTAATTATATGTGTACGCATTGATGGAAATGTTTCTTTAATGAAAAAAAAAAAACAACAACAACAACAAAATATGTTATTAATAAAATTTATAAATAAGAAATATTTACTTGGATTAGTATTCTCTATTGATGTGAAAATCAGTTCAATGCGTACGTACGAATCAATTACTAAAGGTTGTCGATGACGTCTATAAATAAATAAATCTCGAGCACTAACAACACGAACAAATAATGATTTAGTAATATCATTCCATCGTAGACCAAATGTTAATGAAGCTGGTTCTGTAATATGTTCCATTGTTAATGAATATGATAATCCTGATGAAGATATTGTTGATGAACATTTTATTTGTTCTTGATCTTGTCGATGTAACATACTTGCTTCAGGCCATGAAAATGAATTTTTAATTATACTTGTTGTTTCATTTACAATTGGATATGATTGTTTATTATTTGTAATTAATGATGAATTTAAATTATCACATGATGTTGATGCCAATTGACGACGCCAATATCTTGTAATACTATATGATGAATCATTTGATTGTTTTTTACGTTGTTTATGATAGTAAGAAATAGCTAAACCAACAATGAATATAGCAATCACAAAAGACGAAAGAATTGCTACGATCATTATAGATGGAAATGAATCGCCTAATATATATAGGAAACAAAATTAATAAATAATATAGCTGAAAAAAAAAAGTGAGAGGGCGGACAAATGAATGAAATAGAATACAAAACAAATCGTAATAATAGAGAAATAAAACTATTGTGTATGCATGTCCCTTGGTGAATGATTTTTTTTTTTTTTATTGTGAAAAAGAAAAATCAATGAGAAGTCCCTTTTATAATCTTATCATAAACATTAAAAAAAAAAATCACAAAAGAAGTAAAAAACTTTTGTTTTGTTTTCATTAGCTTTTGCATACGTACGAAATTTATTTGTTCCAATTATTTCTTCATGTCTTTTTATATTTCCTTTGAAAATATCTCTATATAATTCATGACTCTTCATCAATTGTTCATTCATTGGATGTTTTGAATCGACTAAATAGGCTGAGAAATCAGGATTTTCTTCTAGGATCATTTTAGAAAACAAAAAAAAAAAAAAAAATGAATGATGTTATCATTATTATGTTCGTAGAACTTCTATATTTCTTTTTTTTTTTCTCGGATCGGCCAGTAAGAGGAAAATTGAAGTTCGCTCTTTCTACTTATTTTCCGAACATACTTCTTTTGTATTTGCCATACAAATACCCAGCTAACAAAAAAAAAAAGAAGAAAAGAAAAAAAAAAAAAAACTAGTGAATCTAGTTTTATATTGTTATAATGAATGACAAGTCGTCAGAATCAGAAAATAGATGAGAAAGAAGAAGATTTGCTGCTGCTGCTTATTACATACAAACAACTTCAACAAATGCATTAAGATAATCTTATAACTTGTCGTCTTCCTAAAATGACATTGAACATAAGTAGGTTACGATGATGATCCGTTTATTTTCTTCACACATATCTTGTTAATGTAGAGTAGCGAGAAAAAGAAAATGACATGAATTTGATGATCACACACAAACACACACACACAAAAACATATATGTATGCATATCACATTGGTTTACGTGCACACGAGATTGACATATAATTATATCGGGTATGCACGAGCGAAAAACTTCAGAAAAGAAAACCAGATGCAAATAAAGAACAACGAAAGAGAAGAACTCATCACATTTTATTTGATAATATCTGAGAGCCAAGAAGAAAAAAAAAGAAATGCGACAAGCGAAACAACAACAAATAGAAAAAAAAAACTAAATGCAAAACTTGAACAATACCATTAATATGTGGCACATAGAAATTTAGACACTGGTTTAGTTCCTGAGATTCCCTACAAGAACAATTTTAAACCGGTTGTCGGAAGACAAACGAAAAAAAAAAGAAAAATACGGGAATGTAATGAAAAGATAAATTGATCATTCAGATAAATATGCATATGTATTGTGTGTTGCACATACAAACACTCCTCATTCGATATAGACACATACACAACAGTTGATTGTTTTATATACAAAAAAAAAGCAACGAAAATTTTGATTGTTTTGTTTTTTCATCACTCGCGAAGACAACGAACGACTTCAGAACGATTTAAACGAAATTGTGTCCAACAACGAGGACCACTAAATTGAAATGTATCATTTGTTAAATTAAAAAATGGTTCTTGTAATTTATGAGAAGTTATGTCATTATTTAAATGTCGACCAGTACGACCTATTATATAAATCGATTTCTTTTTTTGTTTGTATGTGTTTGAACAAAAAAAAAATATAAAACAGAACTTACGTCGATGACGTTGAGATTTATCAGAAATATGATTAACATTATTATTTGTTTCAGGTATTTTTAGTTGAGTGTAGAGTTCATCAGGTTGATCTCGAGTTAATATACGAAATGGCGTTGTTAATGAACATGAAGATCTTTTTCCTTTATGATTTTTGACAGATAATGGACGTTTATTTTCATCATCATTTGACATTGGTGGCGTTAATTGAGTTGTATCTAAATAAATAGTATTAAATTTTTTATTTTTATCTTATTCAAAATTTTCTTTTTTCTTTTGTTGTTTTATAGATATGAATACACATTTCATGCTAACAAGAATGTGTTTTTATTTTATTTTATCATGATTTATGCACCTAGTCATGCAATAAACATCAATCATATAAATTATTAGAGATTGCCTATTGTTTTTTTTCTATGAAATGAAAGAAATTTTTAGAATAAAACAAAGCCACTTCTTTAATTCAAAAATTTCTCATCTATATATGTTAGTGTATAGATTATATGTCATAGATCTGATAAATTATTCATAATATGATATAATAAATTTATTGAAGCTTAAAAATGATTAGTAAAAAATCATTATTTTTCAGTTGTTATATAAAGAACATAGAGATTTCATTGATATCTGAATTTGAATATGAGTTCAAAAATTGTCGTTTGAATTAATTATATTGATCAATCAATATTTAAACAAAAGAGTATATAAATTTTACGAAAAAAAATTTAATAATAAGTTTATCATGTTCTATCATTTGACATATATAAATCTTCTTAAAAAAAAAAAGCAAAAGACTTTTTTTTTTTCGCTTTCAAATCTCTCGAGAGAAACGTACGAGAACAGATAATTACGAAGATTGATTTTTATTTTCTTCCTTATAAATTTAGATACTGAGTAGTCGGATTGTGATTAAAGTATGATACTCTATCAGATTCAATATATATTCATTTTCCTATGAGAGTTATAAATTTTACATATCTCTAGAGGTTCCAAAAAATCGGAAAAAAAAATTTTTTCTTTTTTTTTCAAATGTACATGAATTATTTTATTATTTTAAATAGAAAATGTATTATCTTATTCAATAGAATTCTTTAATAAATCTAAACTAATGAATTTTTATTACTTGATATATTATTAATAATAGTTGAATTATTTTCTCTCATAAGTATTGTTTCTGTAATTGATGTATTATCCGTAACAGTAATAGAATCATTTTTAAGTATTGTTGAAAAATGTTTTTGAATTGTATCTTGTATACTTAATTGTTTTTGAAATATATTTGTTGATGATATTTGTTGTTCATCAATAGTTTGTGGTGTAAGATTAGCAATAATTTTACTTGAATTTTTTCGTTGTTTATATGTACCATTACGTACTAAAATAATAACAAAATTTTTGTATTTAAAAAACAAAAAAAATTTCGTTTTTTTTTTTTGTCACTCAGTACTTCTTAGCATTAATATCCTCTCATGAATTTTTATCAAGAGATATATTTAAATTTTATCATCATAGTGACAATTTTTAAATCAATGAATTTTTTGTTTTTTTTCAATACTTACTAAATGATGATGTTTGTTGATCGACACCAAATAATTTTTCTTGAATATTTATTTTTCGAGTATTATTTTTATATATTATTTTTTGACATCTTAATGATGATTGATGATGTAAATTTTCTTGTTCACATTGTTTTATATATTCATTTGTATTATCTGAATCACCATTTGATGATGTATATATACCACATTCTTGATTTATCCAATGACGTAAATCTCTAAAATATAGATTCGAACAATAGACCATTGAAATACATATGTTTTAAACAATTGAATTAAATTAACTTCAATATATCTTACTTAATAAATGGTATGACCATAAAAAATGCTTTTGGATTAATATTTAATTTAATTTGTGATATTGTATCATGTCTATGACATGGTAAATCAGCTATAGGAAACCAACGCATTTCCTATGAAAAAATAATATAAAAAATTAAATATGTTTTGTTTTATTAATTGATGAGTTTTAGATAAGAAAATAGTTTTGTAGACTTTTTTTTTGTTTTATAGAAAAATTCACTTGTACGAAAAGTTATTTTGACAATAGAAATCAAATTCTAAGGTCTTAACCTTGAGAGAGAGGCTAAGAGTGAAGAAAAAAAAAATGGTGAAAATATATGTTAGGCGATTCAATTTGGAATACTGAACCAGAATATAATATTAGTTTTCGAGCTAAATTATAATTTTGAAGCATTTGAAAAAGTTCTATCGAATCATAGGAAAATAATCTGACTGCGATTATAGTCAACATGTACATAGCTGGTACATAACCAGAACTCGCTGATGAATATCTTGCGTAAATTTCTCAATAGTTTATCGACTTCGTTTGCTTGCTTGATATGAAGTTCGACTCGAGATTTGACGAGTCCGAACTCCGTAACAGTAAATATTTTTAAACTAGAACTATAAGCAATACTTATAAAATAAATTCTAGTGAAATAGTTGAACGATAGAAAGATAATTTTATTTGACAAAGAAAACTGATCTAGAATGCTAAATTGATTTTGACGTAAGTCTTAATATATTAAATATGCTCTTTTGAGATATTAGAGAAAGCCTAAAATAATTTATATTAGTAAAAGTAAAGCTTTTTGATTAGATTTATTACAAAGAAAAATAGTTATTTTTAACATAAAATAATACTTTATCATAATTCAAAATTTACTTATAACACAATAATAAAATTCTAAGTATATATTCTAAAAGAGTACAAAACAACAAAAAAAATAGCATAAGCTTTTGTCTAGAAACTTTCTATCTATTTCTTATATCTCATAATAGAATCGTTTTAAGTTATAAACTATTTTCTTATTCCCATATATAAAGTACACTCTAGTGAAGTATAGAAAAATCTCGAAAGAATACATGTCCTTAAGTTTTCATCATCATAATAATAATTATATAACTAGAATTTTTCATGATATAATATTTATCGTTCGAATAACTTGAAATATTAGTAAAATGATTATTACTCTGAAAGAAATATTTTACTATAGTTTATCTTATGCATAGAATTCAAACATTTTTCTTATTAGGATAGAAGATAGACAAATGTGTGATAGTTTTTCAATTGAATTAATTTCATTGAGAACTTAAAATTTTCATACTTTAATTTCATTTTTTGTTTTAGGTGCAAATTTTGTATCTAGTGGTACTTGTTTAACAATATATAATCGTATAAGTTGTCCATTAAGATCACGTTCTAAATATTGATCATCAAAAGCACGATCTTTCATATCAAAACCAACTTCTTCCATAACCTAAATATAAATATTTTGTTTCATAGATAAAAATTTAAAAAATAAAAATCTATATTACTTCTCGTATGGCACATTTAAATGGACTTTCATTTTCTTGAACTTTTCCTTTTGGAAAACCCCAACTTTCACGATTATAAAAACCTCTTACAAGTAATATATGTTCATATGTTGGATCAATTAAAACTGCACCATATGTTGGTACACTTAATTTATATTCACGCCATTGACATACAATACTATCAAGATTATTTACATAATCACGTAGAAATGGACAATGTTGAAAAACTATTTTATTTAGAAACAAAAAACAAAAAATTATATTAATTTTTATTTTTATTACTTTGTTGAGCAAATTCTTTAATATTACACATATATAAATCATTATCATCTTCACAATAAAAATCAATATAAAACCAATGAGCTAATTCAACAGCAAATAGTACTCGGACAAGATCATCACGTTGTTCAGCTGGGATATTAATAATAAAACGGCTAAATAAAAAAAAAGAAAAATACCCAAACATGTATCGTTGTTTTTATATAAGTCAATAGGTACAAATTTCATACCTGCATAAATCGTCTAATACTTTTGTTGGTATTTGTTGTTGATCAGATAGCATAATAATTTCTTAGTTTTAAGAAAAGAAAAGGAACAGATGGTACAAAAAAGAACAAAAAGAGAGAGAGAGAGAAGGATTTGGGAAGTTAATTTCTTCTTTTTTTTTCACATCGAAATTGACAGACACATTTTCACATGATCAATGTTCCTCTCTATTCACATTGGAGCAAAATATAAACATGTTGGTAAACTATGGATAAGAATCATAGGACAATCTATTGTTTATTTATTTTATTTTAAATAAAAAAATAATAAAAAAGAAAAAAAAAATTCTTTAATAATGCCATTAAAAGGAATTCCTCATTTAATTTCACCTGAATTACTCTATGCATTAGCATCAATGGGTCATGGAGATGAAATTGTTTTAGCGGATTCGAATTTTCCATCTGAATCAATAGCGCGAGCTAATGGCGCTCGTTTGATTTTATGTGATGGTTTACCAATACCAAAGTTACTTCGACAGATATTAAAACTATTTCCATTAGATCAATATGTTGCTAAACCAGTTGCATTAATGGATCTTGTTGATGATGATAAAAAGAAAGGTTTAGATGTACCTATATGGAATGAATATAAAGAAATTGTTGGAAATGATGTTCAATTTGAAATGGTTGAACGTTTTCAATTTTATGAAAGATCTAAAAAATGTTTTGCTATTGTTCGTACGTATTTTATCAAAGAAAATCTATTAGCAATATAGAAATTTTTTTGGTAATGAGATGAACATTTTTGTACAAGATTTCTCTTATTTTCAATAGATATTTTCTAAAATTTTGAATATGATCAAACATTTCCTTTTTCTCATGCAATTATTTGACTTTATTTTAATTTAAAAGTTCAAAAAACTTAAAATCTATTAATATTGATAAATAATCTTCTAATTTTTAAATCTGAACACTATTATGAATAATGTAACATAACGAAGTGTTGTTTATTTTTGATATATTTATGAAATACTTGAAAAAAAATTATTTAATTGAAATCATTAAAGATAGATAAGTACAAACTTATTCAATATATATAAATAAGAGTAATTTGTTTGAAAGAATATAAAGTATTATCGAGAATATACAAGTGAGACTTCGAATTCTTTCGAGTATTTTGTTTTTGTTATACAAAAGTCTAATGAATATAAACTGTTTGACATCAAGCTTTATTATATTTATTTATATCTGTTTTATTTTTTTAGGTACAGGAGAAAGTGCAATATATGCAAATGTTATTTTGAAAAAAGGTGTTGTTATGGCTAAGAAACAATCGAAAAATGAACATGAAGATGTAGCTGAATAATTGATCTACATTGTTGAATATTAACAATATTTTCTTTTTACTTGAATATATGATTATTATGAGCAAAAATTTTCTTAAAATTGATTAGCAAAAAAAGAAAATATTTTCTTTTTCAGATCAAAAAGTCTTTTTTTTTTGTAAAGTAAATAAATATATGATATAGTACAATCCAAAATTGTGTGTTTGTTTTTGTTTAAATAGCAATGATTAATTCGTAAGCTAATAATAATTATTTTTAGTTAATAATATAAAAGTTTTATATTTATTAAATTATTTAGATCTCCGTCCATTAATAGTCTTTTGTTAAATTTAAAATCAATTATTGAATTAGTAATCAAACTTCCAGGTGATTCATTAATAATACAATATGGTGCAATAGAACGAATTCGATCAGCTATATTTTCAATTCTATTACATGGTCTTAAACAGGTGTGTTTATCTTCTATATGAGAGAGATGATCTGATGAGCGAACGTTTTCAATTGATCAATCAATTTTTTTACTAAAAAAAAGCCATCGTTTTGAATTATCAAATATGCTGATCCCATGCGAAATTTCCATAGACCTTTATATGTTAGTTTTCTAGAGGAATAAAACATTTAGTTGTCAAAATCGTTTTTGATTAACTCAGATTATAGAGCATATCAAGTTGTCTATATTGGTTAGACATCTGCAAAATCAGTTTTTTTGGTCCCGGTTCCGGTCCCGTCCCGGTGAAAAATGTTTTAGTCCCGGTCCCGGTCCCGGTCAAAATTTTTCTTCAGTCCCGGTCCCGGTCCCGGTCCCGGCCCAAATTTTTTTTTGGTCCCGGTCCCGGTCCCGGTCTGGACTCGATGCCAGTTAAAAATTGTATTATCGTGAAAAAATTCCGATTCTTGAAACTGAAACGAGGATCGATGAAAATTTTTATCAGAATTGTAAAGAAAATTGCTGTTTTTTTAGATTTCTGATCACAAAAATATAAGAAATACCTTAACGCAGAATCGAGTTTCTGATAAAAAATAATACCGGGACCAGCTTGAAAATTTTGGTCCCGGTCCCGGTCCCGGCAAAAGTAAAATTTTAGTCCCGGTCCCGCCGGGACCGGGACCGGGACTACTTTGCAGATGCCTAATATTGGTATATGTGCATTGTATTTTCCTCAAAAGAAAGGTCGTTTTGAAAGTATTGCGATATACTTTTAATCTTAAGAGATCAAAAGTGTAGCAAAAAGTTTGTCGTTCTAAAAATTCCGCATATGAAAACATAAGATGATTTCTCATCGCTATATTCAAATTTAACAGGGTCGATAATCAATACTCCAGTAAATTCCGATAAAAAGCGACTGATCGATTGAAAACGTTTCCTCGTCATATGTTATAACACAAAAACTTCTGAAATTTTCTTATTTAACTCATAAAGTACTGGTACATTTTTACATTTGAATAAATGATGTAGCTAATATAAACTGAGCTTTTAGTTTTAACAATGAATCTTTTCACGTGATAACTCTAATATGTTAAACTGAATTAGACTCAGTCATGAATGATGAGTTCGAATGCGAGTATAAATGAAACGACATTCTGTCACTAATAATTTCAACATAAATTGTTGACAAAGCAAGATGCATTTCAATGATAATAGCCAATAATTATTTAAATGTCAAATGCGTGGTTACAGAATTATAGGTTTTTCGATCTGGCAATCTTGAACATCAGATAATAATAAATGTCAAATATTTTGTTTTCGTTCAGTATTTGACAAGAGAATTTCCTCAACTGTTAAATCGGCATTCAACAAAGACGATCTCCATTTCATGAGTAATAGAAAACGACAATGTAGCTTGGTTTTCCCGGGCCTTTGTTTCTGGGTTTTTCAAAAAAACAAATTGTAATCCTCGAATACAGATCGGAAAAGCTTGGAACCAATGGGATCTACCACATACACATTTCTCAAACAGTTCGTTGGAGAACGCACTAGTCATTACATATGAAAATCTAGAAAAATATATTTCGACTTCAAACTTCGCACGAATAATGTCCTCAGTAAAATTAGTTCATTGGACAAGGTGCAGTTTTTTTAGTATATTCTATTCTATGATATTCGAAATTCTGTCATGTGTAAAAGCAAACTTTTCTCATATACTTTTCAAAATTTACAAGTTAATTTTTCAAGAAGTCTAAGCGAGATTGCAATTTTATGTTGAAAAACTCAGTAAAAATTCGATAGTTCCAAAACAAAGATTCACACAAACCAACTGCCTAAGATTTTAACATTGGTCATTATAGTCTATCGTGTGAGTACAGTCTCAATTAAAAAAACCTATTCGACATGCTATTTATTATGTAAATACTAATCTCATCAAGTCAAAGGTTGTTTGAATAATTTCACAGAAACATATTTGTATTAATAAAACTAGAACTATGACCTAAACATCTAGCCTATACTCGTTTGACTCACAGGCTCAGATATATATAGAAAAAAAACATACTAATTTTAAATTCGATACAATCTATTCATAAATTCTGTTATTTAGATTTGTATACATAGAAAATTATATTTCTTTATTTTATTTTCTAATTTGAAAATAATTATTTTAGAATACACATGGTATATATGAACAATTATGGCATTTCATTATTCGTTTAAATTCAAATTCACAAAAATATATTCATTTATTACAAGATATTTATCATAAAGAAAATCTTCTTATATCAGTTGAACAATGGATTGATCAATCACTTATAACTCAATGTTTATTTCAACAATTATCCTATATTGAAAATGATATTGATATACTTGAACAATATTATTATAGTAAGAATTTTTTTTTTTTTATTATTTTCTGTTAATTTCAATAGACATTTTTATGACAAGAAGATAATTTTAAAGATCAACGACCAATATATGGTCGAAAATTTTTTGTAAAATGATGTCTACGATTAGGAATAAAAAATAGATATTCACCCTTACGATATATAAAAAAACCGGTGGCACGTTCATGACGTTCTAAAAAGTCATGTTCATTATTCTTGTTAATATTATTATTTGAAATCATTAAATGTTGACTTTTAGAATATTTGTTATTGTATAATAATGATGCATTTGTAATTGATATTAATGTACAATAGATGAATATAAAGAATAATAGGAAAAATACGACACGATTTGTCGATGTTGGATTATTAGTTGTTTTAATGAAGAAGAAGAGCATTGATTGATGTTGAATATACTCTTCTTCTTCTATTGTATTTATTATTAGGCTATTGTTACTTGTCAATTGGATGTCGCCTTTTGTTTTTTATTCTATGAAAGAAAAAACAAAAAGCAATGAGAGAGAAATAGTGAATAATAGATTTGAAGTGTTATATTTCTTCTCCATATTTATTGCATATATATATATATAGATAAATTCATATTATTATTTATCTTTATATATAATAGAACATTATCTTTTGAATGTTCCTATGAATTTTTGTAAATAGAAAGCTTTTAAGTGTAAGAAAGATAATTTAAAAATATTTGCAATTAGATTAGCAGATGTTTAATAGTTAGTTGTAAGAGATAAAAAATATTTACCATTTCTTTTTTTTTGTTTCCCCTTTGACATGAATATATCAATAAAAATATTTACTAAATGTCTTTCTCATATTTGTTCTCTATTTAATATACATAAGTAAAGTGTAATCAAAAAAACAAAAAGAAAAAAAAATCAACATTCAATTTATAAGTAGATTATTTTATACATATATATACTTACAATAATAATAATAATGATGAGAAAGATGATCAAAATACTATGAATATCATTGTAAGCAGCATAACGTTAAAAAAGAATCTTGAATGTAATAAAAAGAGACAAGACACGACTAAATAATGCAAAAAAAACAAAACATATTGATGGTAACTCTTCCGTATTCTTCCCTTGAATAATATATATATATATATGTGAATAAAAAATCTGACAGAATTTCTTTCTCTTATCATTAGCTTGTCAAAAAAATCATAGATAATGCATAAGATGAAAGGATTGTGATGATGATGACGATGATGGAAACTACATGATTTCAACAATAAAATAAAGATGTCAATCAATAGTACATAAGAGAAACTAATGCAAAAAGAATGAGTCTAATAGAATTGTTGATTTCAATGAGATATGTAATAAAGAAAACAGTATGATTATAATGGAATCTAGGCAGCGAAGAAACTAATAATGAATGGAAAATCTTGTGCTAATTTTTTGCGCGTATCCTAAACAACTTTCTCATTTTTATGAAAACGATTGTATTATAAAAGAAAAAAAAAAGAAATCCTTCAAATGAAAAAACCTTAGTCTTTCTCTTAACGTGCTTTTTTACTTACTATCTCATATATAGTATATGTCAAAACTTTTCTTTCTTTTTTTTTCTATCTACTAGATTAATATTATTGTGCTCTCTTAGACAGTTAACTAGATTAAAAATTACTTTTAAATAAAACAAAAAAAAATTTTCTTCTTTGTTTTTCTTTTGTAGGTTATGCTTTTATTCGAATACCATCTTTTTATCATGCATTTATGATTTGTATAAATACTATTGAGTCAAATAATCTATCATTGTTAGCTAATATTGACCCAAAATTGGTAAAAATAAAAAAGAACGAAAGAAAAAAAACTTCATGATTTCTTTTTTTTATAAATAGTCTATTGTCGAATGTGATGATACATTAATATCAACAAATGATGTAGTATATAGATCAAATTCATCTACAAAAACTTCAATATTAAATAAAAATACTAAAAATAAACAACTTTCATATGATGATAATCAAGAAAAATTTCGTAAGAAAAAAATCAAATTGTATTGTTTCATATTTCAAAAATTAAATAATTTTATTAATTAGCTTCTATTACTAAACCACGTTTTATTCATCGTCGTATACATAGTGATCCAATATTTCATATTGAAAATATTCCAAAGAAATATTCTCGTGTTACATCATCACTTTTAATTGATGATACTCAAATAAATCAAAATGAAAATTTACCTTTTATATCATATTCTTTTGAATATGGATCTAGTTATGATTCATGTTCAGATTCATTCTTATCTATTGAACAATCATTACCAATAGAAACTAATCGTCCATCAATATCAAGTCAAATAACACTTGTTGGTGAAGACGAATATCACTTTAATGAACCAACAAAATTTTCGACCACTTCAGATCTAACAAAAAGTAAGTTTCTAAATTAAATTACGTTTTTTTTTAGAATATTCCTGTTTATGAACTTATTTCAACTAGATACGTTTTGTTTGTTTGATATTCAGATAGAATCGATTGAATGAATTAGAAATAGTTCAATAGAACTTTAGCTATTTTTATTATAGGTTTTTTTTTTCTAGGAGTAGACTTTTCCGAAAGTTTCTTTTGTCAGTCACGATATAGAATACTTTGAACTATAGTAGTTCTAATCCAAAAATGATATTATATGAAAGTACTCAAAACAAAATGAAAGTGCTTTAGGAACGAGAACCCTCATATTTACATTGTTTCAATTTTTAATTTGAACTAGACAAAAATATTCCAATTATTTTATTAATATTTTAGGTATACGTTTACCATATTCATCATTATTTTGGCCAAGAAAAGGTCAAACATTAGATAATTATATACATGAATGTGATTCTCAGACAAGAACAGATGTTGAAAAAGTAAAAATGCATTAATTAATATTTGAAAAATATTTAAAAATTCTTTCTTATTTTTTTGTTTTTTGTTTTTTTCATTTAAAGGAGAATGCTCATTTTTACTTTAGTGAAGCAATTATATCAGCTATTGAATATATTAAATTTAGTGAACAATGTAAGAAATATTTTGATTCATTTGAACAAAATTTTGTTACATTAAATGATTTTAATTGGTCTGATCCACATTCAAAGTCAAAGTAAAAATAATTGATTTGAAATTTTCTTTATTTATTAATTTAATTTATGCAGTTCGGATGATTTATCAGCAGAAGCAATAGGTAGGATTCTTTTTTTTTGATAAGAATTGTCATTATTTGATAAATATTTATTATTAACTTAGCATTAGCTATCATGAAAACATGGAAAAATTATAAAATACCAACAGCTTCAGAATTATTTTGGATGATTCCTTATGATGAAGAAACTGCAGAAGAGGTAAATATTAGAGTAATAGAAAAAGAGTAGGCGTCAATAACTATTGAAATTAATTCCATACAAGAAATTTGATTTCTTCTATGTCAATTTATTACTCAAAGTCTCAAACGTGAGTCCTTGTAGAGTTAGTCAAATAGCATTTGTTTTTGTTATGTCGCGTCAATTGTTATTGTATGTAAATTGAATATGATTGTTAATGATATTCAGTACGTTTTGTCTACCCATCTTATGAGTAGGAGTAGTAGTATAATGCTTTTAGTTATGCTATGAGCGAATGTCGCTTTTGTAGCGTGAGAAAAAAATCAGTTTGAAATAAAATTTGATGGAAACAGACTGGAGAAAACTAAGACAAAAAAGAACAACAAACTTTAGAGAACATTTGTACAGTCGATAATTTACCTGTTTACTCATCATGCGACTGGAAGCTATAATTGTTTGAATATATTCATATTGATTCGAATTTTTATTTTGATGCAATCAGTGTGTTCTGTAAAGAATAATTTAGCATCTAATATTGTACCGAAACATTTGAATTTCTTGACATTTCTGATGTTGTGTCCTTCGCATACACTGTTTGGAATTTGTGTAAACAACTTCACGATGGAAAAGTATCCAATACGTTTTACTAAAATTGATTGGCTGTTTCCACTTGATTGAATAGTTGATTAGACGAAGAAGTACTTGTTTTATTTGATCTGTTAATACATTTATCATACGCGATGAAGGCATTGATGATGCTAGTGAGAATAAAATTGCAAGATCGTCAGAAAATAGACGCTTCTAGGGAATAGCTGATAATGCTTCGATGATATCATGATGGTAAATTATGAATAACATTAGCCCAATACAGCTGCCTTGAGGAATACCTTTTAAAAGACTGAACATGGGCGACGACTTGTCTTTAATGTCGATGTATGCTTTTCTACCTCTTAAATAGTGACGAAGCCATACGATTAAATATAATGGGCATTGTAAATTGATTAGTTTTAACCATAAACCATTGTACCAAAGTTGATTGACAGCTGTACGAAAGTCTACAAAGAGTGCAGAAGCTGTCGTGTTCATTGATAAACTTTATCTTATTTGATCTATAATAGCAACTAATCGAACAGCAATATTGTGACCGGAACGAAAACCGCTTTGTTCAACAGGAAGGATTTCTTGTTCATTGATCCATTGACGAAAGTGAATCAGAAAATATTTTTCAAATAATTTAGAGAAACACGGTAGTAATGAGACAGGTCTTGTTTCTTCAATAGAAAGTAGCTGCAAAGTTGTTCAAGCATGATAGGATTATGGAAAGATGATTTGAAGGAAGTAATTTTATTAATCGGTTTGATACACCGTCCATTCCGATGGATTTTTTATTTTTTAAAGACGCCATAGATCGATCAAGGTGATAATAAGTAACATTAATAGGAATTGGTGGCTCATTGGTCAAGACTTCTTCAATTTCAATTTCCGACTGTGTATGTTGATGATTGGAAAATTGTTCTTCATAATGCGTTCTTGCAATAGTGCACATATCTACTGATGAAGAGATGATATTGTTGTTGGCGAGAAAACCTTCGATTGGGGCAGCTCTGGAGTTGAAATGATGTTTTGCTTTTTTCCAAAAACCTGTTGTATCACAACCGTTGAAAGAATTACAATAGTTCAGTCACGTCTTCCGTTTCTGCAGAAATAACTGTTTGTGTATTATTTTTGTCATATCATGTAAAACAATAGCAAAATAGGAATGGCGAGTTTGACGCAACAGTTTGAGATAACGACATTTATGATTAATCATGATGACTATGTGTTGAGGTAATGATGGTTTGATTGTTTTGCGAAAAGTAATGAAGGTGAGACGTAATATGCATAATGAAAGAAAATGTTCATATAATGAGAAAAAGGCTGATGTATATAACATTGAAGCTGCTAACGATTGCCAATATGTTACTGTGAACGTGAGAAAAACTTCGAGTAGATTCCAACAAGTACGTTTGATGGGAAAATGATGATGAATAGAGGACATTGTAAATGATGGATGCCATAAAATCGGATGATGATCATTGCCAATGGTAGGAAGAACTGAGAAGGAGGTAGATGACATGTGTGAGGGTGTGATAATAAGATCAATTGTTGCATCGGAACGAGTTGAGGTGGTCTATCCATCTTATGAGTTACCAGAGTACTTTCAAATGATTTGATAGCATTGCTCAAGTGCTACAAAATGATATAAAAATATCTAAGAGCATGAATTTAAGCCCTTCTTTAACTAATACTAGTTTTTGATCGAACTCTGAAGAAGATCAAGGATGACTTTTTCGATGCGAAACAAGTATATGAAAATATTTGAGACGCACGTAAGTTCATTCAGTCTCATATTAGTTCTCATCTGAATTGTATTTTTCTTATCGATATCGACTCCATATCCATAAAAAAAGACTCAACGTCATGTCTCGAGAACAACTTCGTTAAAGTTCCTCTAATTGAACAGTGTTTTTTTTCCGATGGTTTTATACCGTTGTGTAGCCCTTAAAAAGTATTGATTATTACCAATTCTCGAGTTCAATTTACATGTGATGGCCATTGACACTATACTCAATAAAAACAAGTGCTCTGCAACTAATCCTACTAGAGTTTCCTGTTGAACATCTTGTGTGATTGTTTAACATAGAAAATAAATTTCGAAAGGTGGCAAATTTCAACAATTGTCGAGCGTTGAGTTTTGTTTCAAATATTTTCTTTTTCAAGTTCGTACCAGTTCAGGACAAAAGTAGGACATATACTGAAAGTGATGAATATGCTCCTATAGAAGGTAGTCAACGAGTAAGTAGATAAATCTTGCTTTTCTTATTGTAAATAAACTAATTTTCATTAAAGATATTGCGTCGTGGTAATAGTCAATGGGCACCACCACGTGAACAACTAATTTTTCATATTCATCAATCAGTGAAGTAAGTAGATTTAAAAATAATAAATAAAACAAAATATAGAAAGAAAAATTTCTTAAATCATATTCGAAGATTATCTAGATTGAAAACTGAAGATAGGATGTCTTGGATACTAATAAAGTGTGAGGACCATAGAGACGACACTCTTTCAAGATCGGGTTGGCCCTGCTGAAGTTTCTTGTTCTTCTAACAGATAGTATTCTGTCAGAGATGTCCATCGCGGCTGAAAATCTGCCGCTGCCGCGCCGAAGACTTAGAAAAAAAACGTTGCCGCACCGCAGCCGCGCCGCGACGGCTTATAAAAAAATGTTGCCGCGGCGCTGCCGCGATGAATTATAAAATAAACGTGCCGCTGCCGCGGCGGTTTACAAAAAAGTGTTTCTAATTTCACTGCTGCGACTATATTTGACCAGAGATATTGGTACTAGTCCATCAGATTCATTCAGTCTAGGGGTGTTTCATTTGTAAACCCTAAAATTCTATTAAATTCATGCAGTTTTTCAATGTTCCCCAAAAAAATCCTGCCACTGCCGCGCCGCTGCCGCGATGGTCTTTTAAAAAACCTGCCGCTACCGCGCCGCTGCCGCGATGATTTTTAAAAAATCTGCCGCTGCCGCTGCCGCCACCGCCATCGCGGCAGCGGCAGCGCCGCGATGGACATCTCTGTATTCTGTCAAGATATATGCATACTTTATTAGGGTTAATTGATTTATATAGACCTCAATCATTTAATATTTCATCAATACTTATCGAATTATGATATTCATATTTATTTAATTCGGATTCAAAATCTACTATAGCATAGATTTACTCAAATCAATAAATATTTTATTTTTTATCTAGTCGTGATATTCAATTAAAAAAACAAGGTTATTTATGTGCTGGTTGTGGACGTGATGTTGAAAAAGGTTATGCTCATAGATTTCGATATTGTGAATATACAGGTAATTCAAAAAACAAAAATTCTCAAAAAAAAGAATAAATAAACTTTTCATTTAGGCAAATATTTTTGTCGTAGTTGTCATTCTGATAAAAAATTTTATTTACCATCATATATAATAGCAAAATGGGATTTTTCAAATAAACATAGTGTATCAAATTTTGCTTTTGATTATTTAAATCGTATATATACAGAAGCAATATTTAATATAAATGATCTTAATCCAAAATTATTTCAAAAAAGTAATAAATTAAAAATGATAAATGAATTTCGTTGTGCACTGTATTTTCTTCGTCGTTATATATTAACATGTCGTTTTGCTGAAGAAAAAGGGTAATCCATATAGTTAATTTTTTGTTTGATTATTAATTATTAAATATATTAGATGTCAACAAAGTTTACAAACATTATCATCATATATATATGAATATCCATATTTATATTCATTAGAAGATTTAGTTAAAGTAAATGAATTATTGTTATTTCTTTATTTATGTTTTTATTTTTAAGACTAAATCAGGTGAATTACATAAAGTATTTGAACCAATTGTTATAAAATTACGTGATCATGTTTTAACATGTTCATTATGTTTTGCAAAAGGTTTCATATGTGAAATTTGTAATAATGAAAAAAATATTATTTTTCCATTTAATATTCAAATAACAAGTACTTGTCCTGGTTTGTATATTTTTTGCTTGTGTTATTTGTACAAAAAGAAGAAGAAAAATTTTACGTTTTCTTTTCTTTTTTTTTGTTTTAGTATGTCAATCATGCTTTCATATTCAATGTTATGAAAAGAACAAACATAATTGTCCAAAATGTCAAAGAACCAAAAATAGAACGTTAGTTAGAAAGAATTTTTCTTAAATGATTGTAACAGTTTGATGAGAGAACCTCTTCAAGTTTGAAATCGACTTTCGATCGAGATTTTCGTTTGCTGAGTAATAGAAAATTTAGTTTTTCGAACCTACGTTTTTCAGATTTAGAAATTTTAAAAACCTGTGATGATAGAAAACATTAACTTTTGAGTTCTGATTTCAAACTTTTCATAAACGAAGTTCTCAATAGGATTAGTTCATTGAACAAATTATAATTTTTCTAGTATGTCCTATATTCAGATATTTCCTATTGGAAACCTTATCGAGAATATCGTTCGTGGAAAGTTTCATATAATTACAGGTTATTGTTGAGTAACCCATCTCAATAACGAAGGACCGAAAAATCGAACCATTTAAGACTTCAATTACTCACCACATAAATATCGTCTCGGTCGAGCAACGATTTAACACTTGAAGAAGTTCACTCATGAGATTAAGAAAATGCAATGGATTCAACATCACTTGTGAAGAAATCTTTCTCCAAGAAAAATAAACAAATAATTTATAATGAAGAAAACATTGAAGTATCAGACAAGCAAAGAGAGATTTGTTCTCATCAGGAACAGTAGTATAAAATCTCTTGAGAAATATCATTAGTAGTATATCTATGATACATTTTCTATGAATAATATCATAATCTAGAAACTTGAGACGAGAACATATTATTTAACATTTAGTATATTATTAAACGTAATGAAATGCTTATTTATTTGAACAGAAAAAAATTAAAATTTTCTTAACTCGAAAATTTAAGTTTGAAATTATGACAATACTTAGATTTTTCAATAATTTGTATTAAGCATTATATTATCTTGTATATTACTCAAATTTATACTTGATATGCAATTAACTTTTTTTTTCTCTTTAATTTTAGCAGCCTTACTACGTCAAATCGAGCTAATACACCGACGACAAATGCTTGATAAGAAGACAAAACCAAAGCTATTTTTAGTTTTTTTATTAATTTTTTTTTAACAAGATAATTTTTATACACACATTAATCAATGTATTTTTCTATTGATTGTCATAATAAAGTTTTTTTTTTTATTGAAATCAAGTATAAGATGTTTTTTTTTATCACAAAATGCAAAGATTTGTTCAATGCTTTTTCTTGTTTGGTTAACTACCTTTGTAGTATTTGTATAAAGAGTCTAACATATATATATATTTATACATCTACAAATGAATACGGCTGACAGCATTAATTGATCGTTCCTCGATGACGAGTATTGAGGGAAGCAATTTAGTACACCCACGATAGCGAGAAAAAAAATGCAAGAAACAAAACATCATTAATATTTATATTTTCAAGCAAGTGAATGTCAGAAACATTGCACAATGACGTTTGATATAGGCAAAATAATAAAAAAAAAATGAAAGGTTGAATAATTATATTTATCTATATGTACGTCTGGTATTTTTTCTTTTGTTAATCAACAAATGTTTATTTCTTATCTGATTCAAATATAAGTATAAGCTATTATGCAGTTGTTCGACGTGTATTTTTTTGGTATGGCTATTACATGGTCATATATAACGAGTTATGATCAGCAAGAATCATCTTTTTTTTTTTCTTCTACAACAGTTGCTTGTTTGACATATTGATAGAAAAAATTCTTCATGATCTCAATAGAATATATTGTCAGTTGGGACAAACAGAAAAAAAAAACCTTCAATCTATCAGCGGAAATAGGTTGATGATGATCAAACAGAAGATCATTTTTTCTTGACACATCTATATTATATATATATACATCGATACATTTCTATCTAATATAACGACGATTTTTAAATAAGTAAGACTTGTAAAATAGAAATATATTATAATCAGCTTGTTTTATAATTTTGTATGTATAAACGTTTAGCAAAAAAACTGTTATTCGAGCTCTTTTCTTTTATCCAATTGTCTTTTTGTTTATCATCAACGATGATCTTCATCTCGTTTATTTTCTATATAATTATAAAAGCATGCAATTATTCTTTAGTATATCTTCGAATAAAAGCAATCGTCTAAAGTAATATTTCTAGATACTGGTCATATCCTATGCTTGACTGCTATCTTTACTCTCATTATACACATAATGAGTACTGCTTTCTTGTTTATTTCTATTGGAATAAGACAATGTATTGCATTTGCATGAATGATAAAAATAAATGAGACATAAAATAGAAACGTCTTGATCGTGTTTCTAACATACATATATATATATATTCTATAGAGTCGATTTGTACACATACATATCCAAAAGAATATGTGTAAATCTTCATAGTAGTAAGTTACTAAATGAATTGATTGATTGATTACTAATATATATATGTCACTTCATTTAATATAATGAAAAATAAATTAATACGTCAATCATCACAAATTGTTTTTCTACGAAAATCTCATCATCATGCTACACTTATACGAACATATTCATTGCCTGTATCTTTTTATAGTAGAAATAAAAACAGGTAATTTCTTTTTTTGTTTATTTGCTTCTTCTTGCTACTCTTATCCATATATATTTACAAATAATTGAAGTATAAATTGATTATCATAAAAGTCTTTCTTAAATAATCCATAGGGTATTCGGACATTTTCTTTTTCTCATTTCTTATTGATATAATCGAAAAAAAAAAAGTGATCACTTTATTACTTTAGTCATCTTGTTTTGATATATGAACATGATGACAACAATAACATCATCGTGTTCCGTAATTATTATTTGACAGATAAATTTTTGAAGTACAACCAATGATAAATACATTAAACTCAGAATAAATTTCTATGTAATTATTAAATATCGAGACTTCTTCTTCTATTTCAATATTAAACAAATATCGGAAATCATTGTTCGAGTAAGTTTTCTTTCTATCTGTTTATTGATCTCTAAATAAATATATTTTATTTGATAATATTCAGTAGAAATAAATCAATACGTATGTTCTTGATTATGATTTAATCTAAACTCGTTTTCACTGCATGCTATCGTATTAATTACATAGAAAAAAAAAAGGAAACTAGATAAAATGTTAGATTTATAAATGCGTATTTAGCAATGAATATGTCAATCATGACATTATTAATACTATTAAATAAAAACAAGTATCAATACGAGGTATAGACACTCTTTTTTTAGTTCTATGCATCGGAGTATATTATTAGTAGTCACTATAAGAACAGATGCTGATGATTTCCGGTAAAATAACACATAACAATAGGATGACGACTAGCTTGATAACATAATTCTTTCTTTTCTCTCCTAGCATTTGTTCGATGACGTTAGCAGTCAGACACGCACGCATACAACTGAATGCCGATCAAACAAGCAGTAACAGCAGTGTTGTCTAGTGCCATTTCTTTTTCTGCCTTGCATTGATGGTGTATTCTATTCTGTACTGATTAGAATAGAAGACACCGGCCTGCTTCTTTTTTTCTTTATATGTACATATACATATACAGTCTAGGCTGGTTCGATTGTATCCATCTGTATACTGATCCGTTTTTTCTCGAGGATACGAATCATCAAAAAATTATTTTTCGATCAGAATTAAGACAAGAATGCGTCCTGGTCAAGTTTATGTTGTTTATCGATCAGCGGCTCGTTCTTTGGCAAGATCGAAGTATGCATTAGAGAAAAAAACAAACAAACAAAGAAAAGAAATATATCTTTTCTCGTAGTTTCGTTTAATTTAAACTTAATTAAATATATATATATGATCTATTGTTATTGCAGTATGCGTCGTCGACAAGCTAAAGATCCAACTTCTATTGATGATCAACGAATATGTACGAAAGAAAATTGTTTAAGATGTTGTAAAAAATTTACAGCATTTATGTTTTCACGTGTTGGTTTATTTTTTGTTATGATTGGTTATGTTGCACTTGGTGGTGTGGTATTTCAAGCACTTGAAGCTGGAAATGAACATGATATGCGTCATATAATGGATGTTGAACTTAATAATACACTTAATAAATTATGGGGTGAAATTTTAAGTGTTAATTCATTTCCAGAACCATATAAAAAAAGAAATTTTAGTTTAAATGCAACACGTGAACTTGAGTAAGATGTTATTGAAAGACAAAAAAAGAAAAAAAGAAGAAATTAAATTTTAATTTAATATACATATATATATAATTTAGAAAATTTGAAGAAACAGTTATTCGACAAGTAGAAAAAGGTTTTGATGGACGTACAACTAATTCTGAACATGATTGGAATTTTTTTGGTGCTGTTCTTTATGCTGTTACACTTGTTTCAACAATTGGTAAGAAACAAAACTTAAGATCTTGTCGAAAAAGAAAAATCTTATAATTATAAATCTTACTATGTTAATGATTTGACTAGAGATCTTTTTTCTTTTTAGGTTATGGTCATATAACAACAAAAACAAATCAAGGAAAAATAGCTACGGTTCTTTATAGTGCATTTGGTGTACCATTAATGATGCTTTTCGTTGCTAATATTGGTTCAACAATGGCAAAAATGTTTGCATTTGTATTTAGTCGTATAACAATGATATTTTGTTGTCGTATGAGTAATAAAAAAAAACGAGCATTAGCATTAAAAAATCGACAAAAATTAATGGAAAAAACTAATCAATCTGTTGTTGTTATTGATGAAAAATTACCAACATCAAAATTAAATGAAGAAATAAAAGATAATGTTATAATAACAAAATCAAATTTAAAATCAATTAAAGAAGAAAATATTAAAGATTCAAATTTATCTAAACAAATTAATTCTTCTCTATCTCAATCAATAACAAATTCAACAACAGATATGAATTTTTCAAATGATTTACGACAATTACCAGCTGATATACGTTTAAATATTCTTACAGGAATTCCAATTTCAAATACATCACGTTCTTTAACATCATCAACAAATTCTATTGGAGATAAATCAAAAGATGCTATTGTTCGTATTAATGAACTTATACGACAAAGTTCTGTTCAAGATATTGAAGAAACTAATAATAATGAAAGAGAACAACAACAACAACAACGACGACAATCTATTGATATGAGTCCAATTCAATATTATATTAATG